GCCTGATTTTAAATGGATCAACCATCATTTTATACCGATTCTCACATATTTTTTTCAGATATACTTGAATTATTTATCCCAACATGTCTTAAGTTGTTCCCAAACACGGGATGGTACAAAACGTGGACCCCCTTTCTGGACCCCCTTCTGGACCCCTTCTGGACTCCTTCTGGACCCCCTTTTGGACCCCCTCCTGGACCCCCTAATTAGATTAAGAAAGGATGAAAACAATAAATACCTGGTGCGACTTAAGAGGTCGTCATCAAAGTGGCATTTCATGCTACATACATTTGTCTGAATCTTCAAAAAGTGCTTCTAGAAACGTTAATTCTCCCGTGTGCTATGGTGGGTGCCATTTTGTTTGTAAGTTAGAGTGGGGACCTTGGCACAAGGCTACAAACCTTCCGGTGTTTCCTCCCATCGGCCGCTTCGATCAGATTTTTTCCGCCATTTAATTGCATCATCTCATGTCCTTGGCTACCACTGCTGACCAAAAAAATTGTGGTCATCCATATACGGAGGTAGGTGTGTGATTTTTTCGCATTTTGTATGCGACATTCCTGAAGCCATCGATAAACAATCATGACACTGTCTTGTCAAGAACATTATAATACAGATTTTTGCAGAAGCTATATTTGTTGCATATTGCATGCTTAAAACCACGATATTTGCATCACAAGGGGTCACTTTGCGATAAGCTTCATATGAAGATGAAGAAATTATAGCCGTTGTTTTTCAACAGTCTTCTACATTAAGCATTCCACCATAGCGTTGATTTGACCACAGAGGTCCGTGTATGGATGACCACAATTTTTTTGGTCAGCAGTGGTAGCCAAGGACGTAAGATGATACAATCAAAATGGCAGAAAAAATATCATCGGAGCGGCCGATCGGAGGAAACACCGGAAGTTTTGTAGCCTTGTGCTGAGGTCTCCACTCTAACTTATAAACAAAAGTGGCACCCACGATAGCACACGGGAGAATTAACATTTCTAGTAGCACTTTTTGAAGATTCAGGCAAATGTTTGTAGTTTGAAATGCCACTTTGATGACGACCTCTTAAGTCGCACCAGGTATTTATTGTTTTCATCCTTTCTTAATCTAATTAGAGGGTCCAGAAGGGGGTCCAGAAGGGGGTCCAGAAAGGGGGGTCCACGTTTTGTACCGTCCCCCTAAACACTATTAATAAACCAAGTGATAAACCAATTGCAGAGTAATATCTAATCATAACTTTTCAGTTGGGTTTCCTTAGCAGACTTTGTCATGCAGGGTCATATCACAAAACTATACTTTTTCTTTGTACTAAGCAATACTCAACGTATAAGACCAGAGGCGTATCATTTGCGCAACCGTATCTTATTTTTTCATTCTATGTTTATAGGTTATTTCACGATTGGTGAGTGCGTACGATTTTTATTCCCAAGTTGTGTAAAACAAACGAACGAGCGCAGCGAGTGAGTTTGTTTTACACAACGAGTGAATAAAAATCCTACAAACAAACTAACCGTGAAATAACTTATTTATTACATACATACCGAGATTCATAAGGGAACAGAACTCAGAGATAAACATATCTTTGTTTTCTTTCAAAGGAAAGCAAGCGCGGTCAAGCCGCCGTTCGGGAGTTGCACGGAAATGGCTTCCTTGTAAAATACTTCTTTACATCTAAATTATCGAGCGGAAATGCCGTTAAAAGGCAGAACTAGGTAGAATAAATCAAGAAATAGTTCTATGGACGTTCAAAATCTGAAATAAAGAAGTGAAAACTGAATTTTTTTGTTTTTGTTTCGCCTTTCAAAACTAGAAATTCGTGGAACAGAGCGACATCGTGTTTGGTCCTTTTCTTGGTTGGTGTTTTCATTTTCCTGTCCGTCTATGAACTCTTCTACAGATGAATCTAGGTTCTGAAAACGGTTAGTCTGATTTGAAGCCATCTTTCTAAAGAAAAATGCGCGTAAGCTTGTGGAAAAGTGCTATTTGTCAATCAAGAGGAACGGCGAGCGAGCGAGCGACACGGTTTTGTTCACTAGTGAAAATAATGATATAGCCAACCAGAGCGTCGATACGTCGTTTTTCACTAGGGACAAAAAATCGTATGACCAATCAGCTGGCTCCTCTAGCGCGAAGAGACTATTTTTATCTCGATGCTTTTTGGCGCGTAAATCTCGGTATGTGTATGATAAACCCAGTAATCCATCAGGGCGGCGGTCTTTAATTAACGGCTCACTGCCTCACATGCTCTTGACTGCAAAATTATAAATATGATACCAAGTTCTTTAAGTATTAGTTGTTATGTGGCAAGATGAAAGAGAAGTGATTTCACGGAGAAATAGATCAAAATAACACTCGGCAAAACAAACTGAGCTTTGGACTCTAAGCTTTGAAACTGGAGTATATAGGATACCAAGCGTGATGGAAAACTCCTCCACAGGGTAAGCCGGGTATTTCGTTGGTTGGTGGCTGTCCTTTCATTAGCACAAATCGCGTGCATGATCGATTCAGACTGTATTTCCTGTTGACTACCTGGGACATTGTGATTCGCTGAAGAGAAGAATGAAAAGATTCTTCTGGAGATATAGTATCATTTAGCAAACTTAAAAGCTGATTTGGTAGTAAATCTTTCACGACATAAATACAGAACTCTCCAATGAGAGAGAGAGCCTTTTTTAAAGGATTTTTTTAAAATTCTGGGGTGGTTTTTACAGAATATGCAGTGTTCCAAACCATTAAAGTTATTAAAGAGCTCGTACTGAGGGATAGCCATGCCTGTTTTTCTGGTACGGGCATTTTAAAACTCTCAAAGATTATAAAAGAGCTTTTCTCTCGTACAAAGGATAATTTGTGTAGCGAGATTGATGAGATATCCCCAGTGTACTTTGCTTTTCACTCGGCCTTTCATACAACTGAGCTGACCCTCTAAAGTTGAAATGTGATGATAAATAAAGTTCACTGCTCGTGACGAGATGAATACATTTGGAAAACTCTCTTTCATTAGGGACTTTAAGCAAACCACGACGACTACGGCAACGAGAACGTGGAAAAACAATAGATCTAATTGGCAGAACGCCCAGCACGTGCGTTTTAAAACTTTGTACATTTCTTAGCTGTCCTTTGCAAAACAACAACGTGAAATCACCAAAATTTGCGTCGTCTGTGAAGCTAAACCGCGGCAGCAAGTTATTTTAATTTACATTTGGAACTCAACGCTACTTTTATGCGTTATGTTGAGTTTGAGGTCTGACGCCCTATGAGACGGTAAACACATCCAGCCATTTTCGAAATTCTAACTAAAAGTAAAAACTCATTTTTTAATCGACGTCTTCTGTGGCGTTGCCGTCCTGACTGCTTAAAGTCCCTGTTGTTTTGCCGAGAA